AACTCAGTTGCATAGATAATGGAATCAATGGTAATCTACTGGCATCCGTTTTGTCATATAAACAATTACGGGTAACCAATCTAATTTGTGCGCAATTGGAGCGGTTGAAATCTGTCTTCAATATTTACAATACACTTTTGGAGCATTTCTAAATCTTAGTCTTAATTATCTGTAGCTATCCGAGTCACTAAATAAACTCGATTTGATATCCATCCCAATAATATTTAATTGCCAATTTGAAAGAATGTATCTCGAAATCACTTCATCGAAATAAGAGGAAAGAAAGGTAAAAATAGTTTTGCAACTCAATCGTTCGCAGTTAAGTATAATACTTTGATTTTTGAATTAGAATAAAAAGCAAATAAAATTGATTGTTATATTTTTTACCATTTACATTTTTGTTTTAAATATTTTTATATTTTATAATACTCCTTTGAAAGTTCGTCTGTATGTACAATCAAATCGACTACTAAATATTTTCAATAATTAGGGGGAGTATGTGTAAGTTCACCCACTTTGTAAGTTGACCCACGCCGATTTTGTATTTTGACCGACAAATCGTCAATTTGGCTAGTCTCAATCGATTTAGAAACGTCAAAAACCAATATAAAAGTAGTTCTCAAGAATAAATACGCTTCTTAAACGGCTCGGATCGGCTCATAAAAATTTTTTGCAAAAAAAAATCATTTTTATAAAAACTAAATTTTTTCGGACCATCATCAAGTAGACAATTTTAAAGATATCAGCAAAGCGAGTAAAAGCTTTCTTCACTAGTTTTTCGTGTGTTTTCATAATCCTAAGTCATTTCACACATATCGTTACATGGCGAAATTCTTTCCGTGCATATTGAAATGTCGACCAATTTTGTAAGTTGACCCACCCGAAAAAAAATCACAAAAATGAGGCAACTATTCAGCGTAAACACTCAATATACGAGATTCATTGAATTTTAATGAATTTCTAATCGTTTTTGGACTTGAAAAACGCGAAAAAATCGATGAAATATGGAAAAAATAGAGAATATGTATTTTTTTACAATTTCTATATTTTTCTACATTTTTTTTTGTTTTTCGTAGTTGTACAGACCAAAAACGATTGAAAATTCAACGAATTTCAATGAATTTCATATATTGAGTGTTTATACTGCATGTTTTTCTAAAAAAATAGGGTGGGTCAACTTACAAAGAAAAAATGTTGTTGCCAAAAATCAGACCTCTTAGAAAATTGACCGAAATATTTTGTTTTTACAACCATAGCTAATGAATTCCCTAATCAAATTGTAGCCTTTTCGGCTCTCTTTCCAATGGTATATCAAGTGTGCATTTATCTTTATTCCATAAAAAATTATGACTAAAATGATTAGTGCGAGTCAACCTACACATAATTCCCCTATAAGATAAATGTATTTTGCGGTGAAAGAAGCGATATGTGTTATTCTTAGGTTGCCTCCGAGTCATTTGATTGAAAAATGAAGTATTCTCAAGAATTCTTTAATTTTCCATGTTTATAGGTTACTAGCTGTTCCCTGCGTACTTCGCTACGCGTTTTTATATTCAATATTGACCGGTCGGTTTTTTTCATTTTAGCCAAAATATGAACCACTTTAGTATGTCCAAAATTGTAAATTATATTAAATTTGTTATTTTTTCTGTCTCTTCAATCTTGGAGGGATCATTGCTCTATGATTTTGTTATCAATTCAGTTTCATTTGTCATCTTATTTCACAAATATCAACACTTTCAGCTGCTCCCGAAGCTTCTTTTTTCAAACAATTGTTGTTTTGACGATTTTCATGGTCATATGGTGGAAGGAATTTTCAATTATTTATTATTATTCACGCAGAATAAATTAAAAAATTAAGTTGAAGTGACAACAACGTTAAATAAGTAGACAAATGAAACTTAATTGACAACAAAATCATAGAGCAGTAAAACGAATACTATGATGATAAAGGAATTTTTTTTTTACTTTTATTAACATGGTTTTCTCATACTAATAAGTGTTGAATGGTGTTATAACACGATGGCCGACCATGATGGCTTTTTTTCATTTTCTTTTTCATTTCAAACATATGATACCCATATTGACTATTCATATGTGGAACGATGTGCAGCATTTCAAAATCGGACCACCAGTTTGGCCTCCAAGTCGTTTCAGACAGACACACATTCTCTTTCATATATATAGATATTCTTCACGCTTCGTCCTAGTCAATTGTCGAAAAAAATCAAAAAATTTTTCGGTCCGGAGAAAAGTTCTTATTAATAAAAGAAAATCCAGCGAATTCGTCTTGATTGGTGGAACTTATTGTATCGTTTGATAGTGAACTTAACACTGGATCCTTTCTGGTAAATTTCGTATCGAAATTCGATGCATTTTTGGGATTTTTCTGTAATTCCAAATACAATCACAATTATAAGTCTCTTCAGGTCGAACAAGGAAATAACAAGCAATCGATGCGTACCACTGTTGGTAGGAATGGTGGTTCTACACGACGTGATTCCAATAATTCAAAATTGAGATGCCGGAAAAATATATGGCGCCTAATTTCTGACTCATCTCCAGAGCATCCCAATCTATCTGCCGGATTTTTCTTTAAAAATGCTGAAAACACAAAGAGAAGGCACATTTTCTATTCGATTGTAAATGGAAGAAAAATTAGTAGCAATGAAATTAACTCTTATCAAACCTTGAATTATCAGTACTGCATTCCGGCTCAACCAAATTGGAACAGGAACCTCAGCGTAAATAATCAATTCGCATAGATCGCGTACTTTTTCGGCTTCGAATGGTGGCTGACCTGTCATCATTTCATATATAAGCACACCGAGTGTCCACCAATCAACCGATGCTCCATATTTTAATTCTTCAAGAATTTCCGGCGCCATATAGTAGATTGATCCGCAGGTTGTGGACGTTAAAACGCCATCAATAATTCCCTCCTGCCGAAAAAAAGCATTTTCAATCGTTTCTATTTCTCCGAAATTATTCAATTTATTCAATTGTCACCTTGGACAAGCCAAAATCGGCCAGTTTGCAATGGCCCTCCTGATCGAGAAGAACATTTTCCAATTTTAAATCACGATGCACTACTCCGTGACGATGCAGGAATTGAAGTGCAAGTGTCACTTCGGCGGCATAGAATGCGGTACGCCGTTCATCAAATTTGCCTACCTGTTGGAGTTGGAACACAAGATCGCCGCCTTTGATATATTCCATAACAAAAAATAAGAGATTGGGTGATTGAAAGCACGAGTGTAATGCCGTTAAGAATGGATGTTTTGCAGCTAGGGCCAGAATACGTTTCTCTGTCTTGATATAATCGACGTAATCGTCCTCGATGATGGCATACTTTTTCAGCACTTTGATGGCGTACATCTTTTCAGTGCCCTTCTTTTCGGCCAGCATAACTTTGCTGAACGATCCAATGCCCAGTACTTTGATAAAGTTGAAATCATTAAGGCCCACTTTACCTTTATCACCGATGGGTAGGGCAGTGCTGAGATTCGACAAATTTCTTTTATTTCTGCTGCTTACTTTCGACGAATTGGCATAATCTTTCGTTTCACCCATGTACGCAGCTGATGATTCACCAGCCATTTCGCTGGCAGTCTCATTCAAATATTCCCAAAAGTTCAACCGCCGCTCTTTGTATTGATACAAACTAAATATTTAAGAAAAATGGTTAAGATATTTAAAATTAGCGCAAAAAAACGCCAAAATATTCGCATATAATTTATTTTCTAAAAAATACAATATAAAACGGATCCGTGTGACCAATCATGAATCCAAAATGAAACATGAACCGTACATAACGATATTCTCACTCACTCAATGAGTGGGCTGCAACGCCGCATGCGGACGAGATGAAGCGAAGCGAAAGTGAAGTGTAAACACGATCAGAGAATATCGTTATGTACTATACATTTGTTTCACCGATATCGCAATGTTTAACAAAAACAACAAGTTCTTGAGAATTTCATTGATTAATTTTGCTTTATTGTTTCATAGCAAATCATTTTTTGCACACTACATGAAATGTGTTTTCAATCGAAGTATTCTTGAATGGCCACAATTGAACACAAAATTTGACTGAGAATTCAGTTCAGAATCGGAAGAAACATTGAAATTGTCCATTACGACGAAAAACGGCAAAATTTTCATGTATTAAAAAAAAAGCCCGAATCGAAATAAAAACAAGACACTTCTCGAGCTTTGGATCTATTTCCAGTTTTTAATTCATTCTTTTTTACTTTCTTTTCAACAAACACATAGTTTAACACCACATGAATTGTAGCCATATTTAACGTATCATTATTATTGTTATTATTCATTTTATCGTCTGATCATAGACTGATTTTGTATTTCTCATACAATTAATTTTGCAATTTATACCAGCAGTAAGACACTACCAGATCTGATAGCCTAGCCTTTGAGTATTTACAACACTATACACATTTTTTTTCTTCATAAAGTTTTAAAAGCGAAGTAAGCGTATGATAGAATTTTAATTGGTCATTGATTTATTTTCGGTGCCATTTAATTGATGATGAATGATCAATTTTCACATTCAGATTTCCTAATTTTAGCTACTTTTAAATTTTATAATAATTTTCAAAAATTTGTTTTCGGTATTCAAAAATTTATTTTTGAAAATGAAATAAAAAAATTTGATGTTCGAAATTGTGGAACAACAAAGTGGGTTCAATTCACATTTTCGTTTTAATTCCGTTGTTTAGTTCCGAATTAAAGTCGTATTTTAATCATTTCTTAGCTTTTAACGTAATTTATCAACTCCAAAAACAGTAAATATATTCTTGAGCGACGTGAAAACCGATAAATCAACAAACAATTGAATCGCACCTTATTGTTTTCACTAATTCGATATTTTTAATTCATTTGAAAGAAAAACAGAATCAAAAAGAGTACCTTGAATGCATTTCAGTACTATCGTACCATCATCAGCATCATGACTAAACAGAAAACTATGAGAACAAATTTTAGCATGCAACACAAATTAGCTGCTTATCATTCAATGGCTCATCGGTTGCGTCGAATGAAACTCTCAGCACATAATTACATGACTGAATATAATCGCATAAATTAAATGGTGAAAATAAATGACTTCAAAGGAGATTTGGTCAATGTGTTGATTAAAAAACATCTAGACAAAATAAACAAATTTAATTTATCGACATTATTTTCCCAAAACACGCCAGAGGTGGAAAACACAAGAGTTGCTTTGCCATACATCCCACAAATTATGAACAAGATTAAAAATAAGTTTCGTGAATATAATTTAGACCTAGATTTGGACATTGTGTACACAAATCAAACCAAACTAATGAATTTGTTGGGATCGACCAAAGACACAATTGAATGTCCGAGAATGAAATAACTTCTATTCACAACACATATAAGTGAAACAAAAATAAAAAAATTTATTGAAATGAAACAACACAATCGAATTTTTTCAAAGTGTAACAACAAAAAAGATTTTTTTAAAGTGTAACATCGGTATGTTGTTACACTCACTACATACCGATGTTACACTTTAAAAAAATCTTTTTTGTTGTTACACTTTGAAAAAATTCGATTGTGTTGTTTCATTTCAATAAAAAAATTTATTTTTGTTTCACTTATATGTGTTGTGAATAGAAGTTGCGTTTTCATTCTCGGACATTCAATTGATTGTTTACAGAAATCTGGCATTTATGCTATTCAGTGCCCCGATTGTATGCGTGAATACATTGGACAAACGAAACGCAACATCACAGTTCGTTTTATTGAACATTATTTGTGTATAAAAAATAATCAGGGCTACCGTTCGGCCTTAGCATTACATGCACTGAACAGTGGTCATTTGAATATCACACTGAGAAACTTACGACTGGTGAAAGAGATAGGCGATGCGCGCAAATTTGACGCATACGAAAGTTACTTTATTCAGTTGAATCTGGATAACGGGAATATCGAGTCAAATTTGCTCTCTTGCTTGTGTTGATACTACACGTGACAATGGACGACTTTTCTGTTTAGTCGTGATGCTGATGATGGTACGATAGTACCGAAATGCATTCAAGGTACTCTTTTTGATTCTTTTTTTCAAATGAATTAAAAATAACGAATTAATGGAAACAATAAGGTGCGATTCAATTGTTTGTTGATCCAAAAACAGGATGCAAATACGAAAGTTCATTTTACTCACAGAAAAATGGAAATCGAAAATGTAACCTTATGAACTTAATATAGACAAAACGCATTTATTTTAACCCGTTAACGGTCCAAATGTATAGAAATGTCAACAATTCTGACATTTGTGTATTCCAATGACGTTTATTTCGACCAAAAAAAGGTTAAAATAAATAGGTTTTGTCTTTTTTATGGATTGGACGTCTATATTGACTTCGTAAGGTTAAAACATATAGATTAGTTTAGTTTTCACATCTTAAAACTCGAATTTAACAAACAGCAATCGAAATCGAAATCAACACGCCACGGAAAAATAAATGAAAAATGGTTCACTAAAAATGGTTATCAATCTTCTAGCCGACGATGTTGTCTCGATGGCGAACGGATTTCAAATGAATCGGATTATTGGGGTTGCAAAAGTAAATGCGTCTGAAATAAAAAATGTTATTTCGGACCGAAGATAATCGCAACAAACAAGAACCATCAAAAAATGATTTCCATGGAAATGTGATGGCCACGATCGTCGAACAGTTGGGTGTTACGTCAATGGGTGAGATTGAGAGTAGAATATGTTTATATTTGCGTGAGCTGTCTCGGTTTTTCGCCTAACTGAAAAGAGATGTTGGAGTTTTGTGTTCAGCAGAGCTATAGGACAGGTTAGGATTTGCAATTTTGACGAAGCCATTAGGCCGTTATCTCATCCACACCAAATATATCCGGCACCTACATCGAATTTTAGTCCGACGAAAAAACTCAACAGCTTTATGAATCTGGAAAAATTATGCAGTATGGAAGCAAAAAACGAAAATACTTTAAAAAGCTTTTCATGGAATTGAATGAAATTAATTGGACTCTCTCAATGAAATCAATCATAGCAACTGCCGGCACAAGTCAGACACGCTTCGTTCAAGTGATTCGTATGAAACGATTCGTATTAGTGGTTGTAATCGATGCACTTATCCGTGTAGTTTACAACGAAGGGCAAAGTCAATCCTGATTATCGCTTACAAATCCCTAATTTGTGTGTGATATAAATCGTTTTGAATCAAAAACTTTCAATTATAATAAGTGAATTGGAATATTGTGTCAGTCGTGCTATGTATCGAGAATGAAAATAAAAGAAAATGTAGGAATTCAGTTGAAGAAAGCATCAATTCTTAAGTGATGTGTGATTTTTATTTGATTTGGGAAACGTAACCTTTTAACAGTGATAGTCCTTATTAAAGATTCCCGTGTGAAAAACGACGCAGAGAAAAACAAGAAAAATGCAAACATTTCCATTACATCTACTGAAGAATGAATCAGACGATAACATCGTACCTGTACTGCTCACAACGTATAAATAGAATATGTGGACTGTACTTTGCAGAATATATACACGTTTCTAGCGGACTTATTATGGAAAACACCAAAAAAATTGCCCATCCTTGAACCGAAGGAAACATCTCGATAAACATCGCGTCATCTATGTTGACGAGCGATTTCATGTAATGATTCAAGAAGACAGAAAACATTTTGTTTATTTTCGTGCGCTCTTAAGCCGTTGGATTTCAATGAGAATTCGAACAACCATCCTCGTCTAATACCATTGATTTTATGTAAAATAACAAAAAGAAACGACAAAAGTGACCTCTCGTAGCGGCACAGTTGAAACTAACGAAACAAACACAATTGAACATGTCAGTGTTGGTTCTGTTGTTTACCGTACAGCCGAAGAGAGATATCTACAGCTTAGTGGCGTTGAATGACATTCAACACCCATGCGAATAATTAAATTTTTTCATGTATCCATTGAACTAAGTAACAACTTCCAATTTACTTGAGTCAAAATTCTTAGAATCCAAATTGATATGGAACAACAGTAGAACAACGCGAAACACTGAATCACTAAAAATACCGATATATAGTTAGTTTGGTCGGTAGTTAAACATTTAAATGAGAGTAAATTGCAATATGCAAATAACAATGAAAGATAAAAACAAGTGAAAGCAATTAAAGATAGGTTGTAAAAGAATCTGTATTAGATCATAAATAAATAAATTAATAAATGAAAACAAACTATGTTATATCGATGGATGGCGTCTGTAGTAACAAGGAATGAGTGTACAGTACACAGGTTGAGTACTGGTAGACGACTAACGCTTTATTAATGTGTGTGTACAAATGTGAGTGCGCATGTATGAGTGACTACGAGAGCTATGTTACAGTGTACGTGACTATGCTACAGCGTCGAAACGATATTGCGGTCGCAACGACATATTACGATATTTCGTTTTTTGCCCAACATTGAAGAGCAAAAGTAGAGTCAGTTCACATACGAGTGAAACATTTATCAAACTGTAGAAGATTTGATTCGTCTTCTATGAAAAATTCACAATTTCAACGCAGAATCAACATCAGTTTGAAAAATTATTCGAAGTATCCAAACAGACATAGCTAATATTAACTAACTTATGCAACGACATTTTCAATCGAATAATAAAAAGGTGAAGTGGTTTTAAAAAAACTGATTTCTACAAATTTGATACATTTTGGATGTTAAAAAATGCTCACGTCGTGCAAGAAACCAACACTTTTCTTTCAACAGGTTAAATAAAAAAATAACGAAGAATAAAAACGGCGTGCATTTCTTTCAATATAATATTTTCTCATTTATTTAACATTCACATCTCAACTTTTGTTATATTATTAATTTATTTACCAATTAGACAGATCATTCAAGATCATTTTTCGGTTTTTACACAATGCTTAACTAATGTTTTCATTTAGTGTTAAATATATTTCTAGAGCTTAGGTTTATTTGTGCGTTCTAATAACTTTTGGATGATTTGGAAGTTTTCTCATTTGTACAGTGAATGTTCAGAAATCTCAAGTAGTTTGTTTTCGGAAAATGGCTTAAGTTTTCTGGACGATTAAGATTTATGGGAGTTAAAATTTCCGAATTTTCACTGTATTAATTTATCCTTACACGTCGATAAGATATCTATCACAGTATTTTAATCAATTTGATATTTTATTTCGTTCATAATTTCATTTGAATAAATTCCATATCAAATACAGACTACACAGAGAACCAAAAAGTCCACGAAGATAGTCTACGTTTCACAGACGCAAAGGCAGTTGAGTAATAATTTTTTGTTAATAGATTTGATTTTATTACTATTTTTTCTAAGAATGATTTTTCATTAAAAAATGATGAATTCGTAAAAAAATTAATTTTTGTGTGTTCGCCCACTTAACTCTCACTTTTTATTTTCAACACTTTGCCTGTTCCTCGAGCGTACAATGCCCGAAGTGTATTTTGTATAAAAACTGCAGTTTTAACAGACGAAAAAAACCTTCAAATTTTATAAAGAAATACGTCTAATATATGACGTTAGTAGGTTTCCTTCCAATATTCCCATATATTGACAGGAATCCTACCAAACAACACACATACGCACATTCAATCATTGGCGCATACACAAACGTCATAGATGAAAAAATCACCAAATCAGAATTCATTTGACTGTCAAACGCAGCCACTACACATCGAACTTTCGGATGGTTCAAAGAATAGCTTGCAGTGTTATTTGATATAAATAAATGCATAAATAATGAAGATAATATTGTATTCAATCGGATATCATATAAATTCAAAGGAAAATATTGAAAAAATGTAATTTTTCTTTTCTATACGTAGGTGACAAAAATGTCACTAAACACAGTCCATGTTCTATTTACCCAAACACAGTCAGAAGGTTGAACGTGTTATCAAACGGAATAGTACAAGTTGTCACCTAGTATCTTGCACATCAAATCGAACTCAAGAAGTTGGATAAGCAATAAGCAGAATATAATGACTTGTTTTATGTTAGATGGGGCGGTCTAAAATCATCAGGCTCTGATAAAAATAGATTTTATATACACAACAAAACTCAATGGGTGTAATCATTTTATATTATACAAAGTTCTCATTAACAAATGAAAATCCAGCGAATTCATCTTGATTGATGCTACCTATCACATCATTTGGTACCGGAGTCAATACTGGTTCCTCTTCCGTGGATTTCGCACCGAGATTCAATCCATCTTTGGGATTATTCTGTATTGAAACATAAGCATCAACGTTTAATCAAATCGGTTACTGCAGGCTTTCTGATGATTCAAATAGTGAATAATACAGCGCCCTGGAGACTAAGTGCAATTGTGCCATACCCGGGTGGACGCGATAGACTTTGATGAAAGCCTACATTCGTTCGATGAGGCTTTCATAATTTTTATGTACATTTTAAATACTGAACGCCTAGGCTTTCATTGTTATTCTCACTTCTTTCGTGCATTCATAGCATTGAAAGCCTAGCGTGAAACATACACACGTACAACTGAACGCCTAGGCGTTCATTGCTACGAATGCACGAAAGAAGTGAGAATAGCAATGAAAGCCTAGGCGTTTAGTATTTAAAATGTACATAAAAATTATGAAAGCCTCATCGAATGAATGTAGGCTTTCATCAAAGCCTATCGCGTCCCCCCGGGTACTTTTAATGTTCGAACTAACACAGACGCGTACTTGTTATAGCAGACTTTGTGCATGATTCTCTATTTCTCCAACCAGCCTCCAGGTGCCGCTTTATTTCTCTTGTTTGACGTTTCTTATCTGTTTGTACAGACGATCAGAGAGGCTGGGTTACTGTAGCAATTGAGCAATCGATACGTACCACTTTAGGCTGGAATGGTGATTTCACACGAAGCAATTCCAATGCTTCCCAATTGAGATCCTTGAAAAATGCATGACTTCTGATTTGCGACTCATTTCCAGAGTATCCCAGTCGATCTGCTGGATTTTTCGTTAGAAAAGCTGAGAACACAAAATACATCGTTTTGTGTCGATAATTTACACAACATATAAAGGTTATATTTAGTTTAAGTGGGTTTTCAATTATATTCAGAAAGAGTTTTCTATTTGAATTCGATATTGTCTGGGCTGTTCCGGTTATCGTGGTTTACTATGGGTTATACATGTGATACATACAAAAGATCGAGATCGATCTTCAGGCATCCAGCAAATATCGTGTCTGAATCACGACATTCGTCCAGAAAACTTGAGTAAATTTTGAAAACAGATTGCGTCAAATCCATAAAAATGACGTTGAAAACTCAAGTTTTTTTCACAAAATTAATCTACTTATGTTTTTCGTAACACCAATGTGTTAAATTGAAATATTCGGAGCCGCCGATTGTACAAATAATGAGTTTTATTGATTATGCTTGCCTAATACTTAAAATTCGGCCATGTGCAAATTTTGCCATATAAATCAATGTTATTTCACCGGTACTCCGACGTTTTCATAAATTCTTGCCATGGAGACGGTCGCAACACAGCCGAAAATCGAAAAAAAGTTGAACATCTCTTTTTGGCTTTCAAATAAATATAGTATTTTGTGTGCTAAATCCATTGGTGTTATCGGCACATCGAAATCACTTTGTTAAATGAATGAAATCAAACTGAAAAATGCAACATGAACAGAACAATCGAAAAAATATAACAAAGAAGCAATATTCGAAAGAACGTAACATGATAAAGTAGATTCTTAAGAGCGCAACATAAATTTACGCCACACTGAAGCGCGTCATAAGAATGCTGTAGCAACTAAAGCTCATGTTACATTCATTTCGACTGGAGATTCATGTTACGTTTTTACGAAATAACTTTTCATGTTCGGTTCTTGATATAACAGATCTGTATTCCCATTTTTATGCTCAGCGACACATTTGTATACGAAGAAAGCGACCTTGGTATAAAAAATGAACGAACAAAACATTTTTTCCAACTTTCTGAACGAACGCACCAATAGGCGAAAGTGTTCGACGGCCCCATGTATGACTTTAATGACCACATATCTTAGTAACAATGTTATTACAGTGAAATGTCAACTTTTTCATGACATTTTTAGAAACATTCAGTTTGTTCTACTCGCACAATGTCTAAAATAACGATATTTAAATCAATTCATCAAATCACCAACGAATGGTTTTCCAAAGGGTTGATTGAAAGAAGTCGTTTGACTATTAATGGGCTGATGTTTAAATATAAAATTAAATTTACTTTAGTAACAGATAGTGTCCTATACGTCCGTTGAGTGCCCAATTTTTTTCTACAAAATTACAGCTCTGCATCAAAATATTCCAATGTACCTTGAATTATTGATACAGCTTCGCGGCTCAACCAAACTGGATATAGAACGTCATCGTGAAGAATTGATTCAAATAAATTGTCTTTGTTGTCGGCTTCGAATGGTGGCTGACCAGCCATCATTTTATACATAAGCACGCCGAGTGCCCACCAATCGACCGATAGGCCATATTCTAATCTTTGCAAAATTTCTGGTGCCATGTAATTGGGCGTACCGCAAAACGTGGGTGTGGTACAGCCATCAATCATTCCCTCCTGTCGGAAAAAAGTATTCAATCAATTCGATATTTTAAATTCATCAAATTTTTCCATTTTCTTACTTTGCACAAGCCAAAATCGGCCAGTTTGCAATGGCCCTCTTGATCGAGAAGAACATTTTCCAATTTTAAATCACGATGCACTACTCCGTGACGATGCAGGAACTGTATTGCGAGTGTCACTTCGGCGGCATAGAATGCAGCACGTCGTTCATCAAATTTGCCTGCCTGTCGAAGATGAATCGTAAGATCGCCGCCATTGACATATTCCATAACAAAAAATAGGCGATCAGTTGTTTGAAAGCACGAATGTAGTGCCGCTAAGAATGGATGTTTTACGGCTAGTATCAGAATACGTTTCTCTGTCATGGTGGAATCGATGTAACGGTTCCGTAGAATGTTATTTTTTTTCATCACTTTGACGGCGTACACCTCTTTGGTGCCTTTTCTTTCGGCCAGCATTACTTTGCCGAATGAACCCTTTCCTAGCACTTTGATAAAGTTGAAATCATTAAGGCCTTCTTTATCTTTATCACCGATGGATAGAGCGGTGCTGAGTTTCGACCAAATTCTGCCGATTCTACTTTTGCTGCGTACATTCGACGATTTGGCGACATCTTTCGATTCTTCCGCTTCACTTGATTCACCAGATCTTAGTAGTTCAACCCTCTTCTTGATACAAGCGAAATATTTGCGAAAATTTATTTAATTAGTAAAGGGCTGCTTACAAAAACGTCTAAGAATAAAACAAAATCGTCCAAAAAAAATTACAATTTCGTCTAAAGGATATGAACCCTTTTTTTTAAACAAATTCGTCTGAATTTTTTTTTTAAATGACAAATTCATCTAGAAATGTGAAAAAAAAATTCTCAACAAAATCGTCTAAATACGAGTTTTCTGGAAAGATGACAAGATAGTCTAAAAGACTCAAAAAACATCTATGCACAAAATGTTCGTTTAAAGTGACAATATCATGTAAAACACTCTCAAAAATAACAAATTCATATGATACTATTTTCATCCTGAAAAAATCACCTGAATTATGCCAAAAACGACTATGAACAAATCATTCATTTAAAATGACGAAATAATCTAAAATCCCAATTTGTTTCAATAGAGAAGACTTTATTAATAAAGAAATAAAGAAGGATATAAAATTATTTACATCAATCGTTTGCAAATGAAAAGATACTCCCCGGATTAGAAAGCCATCTTCAGTGTATGTCTTATCAAATTCATTGGGTATGGTTTTGATCATATCACTTTTTGGAATCAAACTAAGCTCATATGCAATGTGTTGTGAAGAATAAAATAAAAATAATCGAATGAATATTCGGCAGTAGCTGGTGAAGTTAGCGAAATCAAAAAACAATTAGCAAAACACACACAGTGCATTGAGGATGACATGCAGCGTATGCGTCGCAGTCAAGATTTGCGATTGATTGGCTTACCAGTAAAAGAAAACGAAAACTTGTTGATGATTTTTTAATCTATAGCGAAAGTAATTGGCTACAACATAGATTCACAATCCAGTGCACCGTTTATTGAGCGCATTCCAATGAAGCAGAAAACCACAGGCGAACTCATTAAATCTGCAACAATTTCGATGACATTCACAACCCAGAGACAGAAACAATCATTCTACTCACACTATCTCAACAAAATGCCGCTCAAACCAAATAAATTCAATCTATTCGACGATAACGTTATTGTGATCTGTGAAAACCAAACGAGCAAGAATGCACAGCTATTCAAAACAGCACATCAAATGCAGAAAACATCGCATACGTATATTTTTTGAGATCACCGTGATGTTTTCGAAAATCATATTTCTGAAACTATACATCTCGAATTTTCTTTCGATCACACTATTTCAAAAACACAGTTTCAAAAATTCATTTGGAATTGCGAAATTTACAATATAACTATAACTTTTGGACAGATAAACCGACTTTGATCATGAGTGAAAATAAGTTAGATTAAATTTGTTACATTTGCTCTAGTCAAATCGTCTTAGATTGTGCCGTAATGTGCTTTATCGCTACACATACCTCATCTCGAGTGCCAGGACACTCTGTTGCCACCAAGCGATGACGTCTCTTGTGCACAATATACGACAAATATTTTAACATATTTAAATAGAAATATGTTGATAAAATCTTAAAACTCGAATTTAAAACAAACAGCAATCGAAATCGAAATCAATACGCCACGGAGAAATAAATGTAAAATGGTTCACTAAAAATGGTTATCATTTTCCTAGCCGACGATGTTGTCTCGATGGCGAACGGCCCTCAAATGAATCGGATTATTGGGGTTGCAAAAGTAAATGCGTCTGAAATAAAAAATGTTATTTCAGACCAAAGATAATCGGAACAAACAAAAACCATCAAAAAATGATTTCCATGGAAATGTGTTGGCCACGATCGTCGAACAGTTGGGTGTTACGTCAATGGGTGAGATTGAGAGTAGAATATGTTTATATTTGCGTGAGCTGTCTCGGTTTTTAGCCTAACTGAAAGGAGATGTTGGAGTTTTGTGTTCAGCAGAGCTATAGGACAGGTTGGGA